TCCCACGATGTCCCCCGTGCAGCATTCCTGGCCATCTCCTCTGGCCGATGCCGGCATCTGTCTTCCGGGTTCTGTTCCCTGCGATGTCGGGACGTACGGGGGGACGGAACTGGCGGGAAATTTTAAAATGTCAAAAAGTGACATTCACTCAATACACTAAAATCACATAGTGAAACATTTCTGTATCAAACCATTTCACATACATTGTGCCCCTAGTGCTTTGTCCTGTGCCCTGCTTACATTCTTACTGTTCTTTCTGCCTGGAAACTGAGAAATGTCCATGGCATCCAAAAAGCGTCCCTTTAGGTCAAAAGTGGTTTTAGACCAGCTAGAGAACAGCGATAGTAAATCAGAATGACTTGCAGAGTTGAGTGATGATTTGTGGGGAAATTTGTCATCAGACACTGAAAACGATTTTGCGACTAAGCTCAGTGATGTGCGAACTTGGCGCTATATTTCAAATTTCAGTGTTTTTGGTTTGATTATATTATTGAATTAAATGTATTGTTATTATAATATTATTTTTTATGATTATTTATTAAATTATAATTTATGATTTCGTGTTTCAAATTTTATCATACCCGGGATGTTTACTAGACTCTTGTTCAGACAGATTTCAGTGAGTTAATCCTAAAAATTACAGGCCTACAATAAAAAAATTACATATTTCCATGCAAAAAAATGTACCGCTTTGAGCACAGAAATACTGACATAATCAGACCGCTAGGGAGGTTAAGGTATTAAGTTGCCTCTTCAGGGAAGGAAATAATCATGCACCCTTTCTCTCATTCTGTTACTGTCAGTCAACTGAAATTTGGTAGAGTGGCAAGTGCAGGACATTGAGCAGTAAGTATATGATTGGACGAGTGGCCTGTACCCCCTCTCTCATCTTCAGTGTGGTAGAAAAGGTCAGAGGTCCCTGCCCACAATCATTCCTAGAAATTCAGAATTTGGATAATTATCTGGGGCTTTGGGATTTTTTCTCTGCAGATTTTATTTTATTAGTATTTGTATATAGGGTTGATATGTTAAGAAATTCAAATTATTGTATTAAGTATGTTTTTGCCTAGTGAGACTAGAAACAGAAAAATGACCTGCTTGATCTTTCCAAATAAATTTCAACATTCTGATGTTTCCACATGTTCAGGGCAGTATACACACACACACACACACACACACATCATTTAATAGTAAGTAAGAACGTTCATAACACATAGAAAGCAATAATAAAGGTACTGACTTGAGGTCAATGCAGACTGAAAACCAGTGAGATTCAGTAACTGATACGCTAGGTTGAAGGTCACTTGCTATAAGGAGCAAGTCAGAAAACAAAGAAGTACTACAGTAAGTGCTGATACAGTTCAACGTTGCAAAGTCAGGTTCACTGTTTTAAATGATAACTCTTATAAACAGTATGGAATCTGCTAAAATGTTATTGGAATCACAATTTGCTTTCCAGTGGCCTTTCTTACATTTTAGCTCAACCTTTGAATTGCCAGCATAGGCTAATGAACTGACAAATAGTGCACATACCTTTATTTTAGAAACACGTTCTTGAGAAATAACGTTACTCAAATAAAAAAGATCATTGTGACTGATAAGATTTGTTATAAATTTAACAGCCATCAACAGAAGTTTAATTTTTTTTTATACTGAGCCATCTGGCACCATGTCAAGTTTTTAAAGCTAATAACTAGTTTACAGAAACACATTTAGCATAGCATGTTTTCTCTTGCTCCTTTCTTCTCTATTAAAGGATGAGACATCAGGGTAATTTAATAAAGGAGCTGAGGTTGCGCTCTTAAAGTGAATACGTGAATATGTGTTTTATACATTGAATAACCAACTATGTGCTAGCAAAAATCCTTTTTTTTAAATTTCCCAGACACGTGGTTGGGTGATTCAAATTAAAAAAACCCTCCACTTATTTACTGGCATGCATTTTCAAAGTGAATATTTACTTTGTTACGTGAACAGGCTCTACTGGCAGTGCATAGACATGCAAATTATGGGGCTGATTTACTAAAACTGGAAAGAGGAAAGTCTGGTGCGGCTCTGCATAGAAACCAGTCAGCTTCCAGGTTTCTTTTTTTTTTTTGTCAAAGCTTAAAGCATTACTAAACCCACAACAGTAAAATCAGTCTGTATATGCAGTAAAGCATGCTTGTTATACTCACTGTGGAACCTAAGGGGTTAATCCTTTGCATTGTGTAAAAAGGCTGTTTGCACCTGACTCCTCTGCCCCTAGTCTTGTTAAAATGTCCACGCTGATAAGACAGACTGAACTCGTAGCTTTTATGCACATGCTCAGTTTAGTGTGTATTGCTAGAGAGGAATTTTTTTTGTTAAGAGAGTGCATGTGATCAGCACAGGTACCAATCATCACTGTCCAGACAGAGGTCAGGGGTTTTGCATCCTCTAGCAGAAATAAAACTCCTCCTCCAAGCTTTAACCAGTGCTCTGCTGAACACTGACAGAAGTCAAAAGACTGCTCTAATTGCTGATGAGAAAAGGTAATTAGCGATTTATATTTACTAAAATAATTGTACTTCCATGTTCTGTGTACTGTGGTAGACCAGATATATTGAATGCAGGGTCCTGGGTTTAGTAAGACTTTAATTGAACAAGCTGAAGTTAGAAGCTGATTGGCTACCATGCACAGCTCAACCAGATTTTGCACTCTCCAATTTTAGTGAATCAACCCTAATATGTATTTATTATACTGCTTCAGTTACTTAACTAGCCGTGGACATTTTCACAGTACTTCCACAAAGCTCTACTACCTCATCCATATCAACAGTATACCAGAATCTCTAAAATTCACAGATAACTCACAGTTTTTAGCAAATATTTAACCCTTGCCATCCAAACCTATTAAAACCTTATATTCTTCATACTACTTATTTTTCAGGGAGGTTACTGACTATCTTTTCCTTAAAAATATAATCCTAAAAAATATATTTTTTGGTGGGTAGGAAGATTGGGTAGGGGGGGGGGTATTATTCAATATTACTACTGCATCTTTTACAATATCTACATTTTTGTAGTCACTGTTATTTTATGTTTTATAGTTTCTAAAAATGAAGTACATTACATAACTACACAGTCACATTACAATTTTTGTCTTTTTTATGTATGATTCATTTGACTTTGATGACTCAAATGTATACACAGAAGAAACCCCACTGCAATACATGATTAGAGGAGTCTGCTGTTTTACATTATGTGTTATTCACTGTAAGTCACAGTAGTCAATAATATTGACATTTCATTCTATGAATACAGTATGTAGTTTGATGAGTTAAAATGGTTTCATTGACTGCTTTACTGGCAAGTGTGTGTCTTTCTAGAGAACTCTTTGAAGAATTAGAAAGTGGACAGTAAATTACTTGTTATTTATAAGTAATATCAGATGTGACTGCTTTTACAGCAAAACTTTCCCATTAGAAAAGGGCAGAGGGCTATCAGCTGCTGACTTGCAAATTGACCCCATCCCTTTACATGGGAATGGTAATTGAACTTAAAAGTAAGGGAACAGTTCCCATAAATCCCTACTGTTCTATTATAAATTCAAAGATTGTATCTGTAGCTTGTATCTAAAGACCCTGGCTTGAAGGAATGATTGTTTTCTTTACACTCACTTAAAAATATCCAGTGAGGACAAATTCACTAAGGGTGAGAGATACCTTTAGTAACTACATTATCAAATGATGCTGGAGCTGTGACATCACTCCTGTAGGCTTGTATCTGTAAGGTGCTCCTGACAAAGTCTAGTGATGAAAAGCATATGAAGTGGCCAATGGGATTTATCAATTCAGGCTAGTTCCTGCATGGTGCATATGTTGTGGAATCAGCTAGGTGTCTACCGATGGTACTACACATATGAGAGCGTACAGTGAGTAGTAAGGGAAACATGACCTATGTACTTATGTGGTTATCAAAGTGATCTCTATAGTGTCATATAGCACTCTGAATGTTTAAGTGTATTTTAAAGCATTTTTTAAATGTATGTCAAAGGGTATCACACTATTAACTTTGCTTTTGTCTTGGTACTTACTTTACCAACTCTTCTGTATTGATCCCTCTGGTTTCTGAAGATTGGATTCAGATGATCATGGCGATCTGGATACTTAAGACAGTTTTACATGAGTATGGTTGACCCTCAATAACAAAAAGGCCTCCAAAATCTGGTAAGTTGTGCATACGTGGTGATGAATGGTGTGTTCACAAGGGTTACACGTTGAAGCTGTATGAAGAGATGATAACATTTTTGGAATTTTACTTGTAAACATATGCAATATCATCACATTTGTGTTTCACGTTTCTGATACAATTTTTGAATTGGGGAAGGCGGTGGTGATTTTTTTTTGTGATTACATTGATGTGTGTACCTGGAAGGGCTAGTTTACAATAGCATTCCCCCTCTGAAGAGTGACATGCAGTGGATCACTTTTCTGAGTGTGTTTGCAGTCTGTGAGGTGGTGTTATGTCACCTCTGACTGTGAGGAAGAGGAAAGTCCTTTGAAACGCAGCAGCTGTTTGAGGTCCAGAGTTCCCATCATGGACGCACACTTAGTGCGGATCGGACCGAGCTGTTCCTATACATTGTACCTTTGACTGTATTGTCATTTTGTGAGTACGATACCTGCTTTTATAATTTAATAAATACATTTTTTAAGGTAATGCACTAGGCCGGTGTGCCCTCTTTTTGTTTTTCTCTACTCAGTATATTTGGACTTCCCCGGTCATTTGAGGGCAGCATGGTGTGCATATTCCTAGAAATTCTCGATGTGGTCCTATCCTTTTGGAGTCCATTCCTAAGTGCAGGAGTATTTGTGTTTGCCATTTCATCATCTCTCCTCAATGCCTGTTTTAACCTCTAAAAGTCAGCATCACATTCATGCATTTCATGCGGTTCAGACCTCATTTACTTGAATGGGCCACTTTCTTGCCATAGCTGTGAAGCAAAGTGTTGCAACCATGGCATTTGTTCACCCCCAGTCAGGGACGGACTGACCATTCCAGCACTTTGGCACTGCCCGAGGGCCCGGGGTCAGTAGGGGGCCCCATGAAATGCCCCTGGTACCTTTTTAATAGGCTTTTTTGAGTGTTGGCAAGGACACAGGGGCCCCATGATCCCCTATTGCCCAGGGGGCCCCATGAGTCGTCAGTCCGCCTCTGCCCCCAGTCATTGCTTTTGCAGCTTAATGAGGAGCAAATGTTTGAGGGGTAATAACTGTATCTACTCTTTTTGACTTGTCTAAAATTGGTTGCTGCCTTTGTTTGTATATTATTTTGTATTAAAGCTGTTTTTCAGCCTCCCCTCCAAAAAATAAAAGTCAGCAGCTAAAATATTGTAGCTGCTGACTTGACTTTTAATACCCTGTCCAGGGTTTCAGTACTGCCCTCACAAGAGCCGATTCTTCAACTGGCTTTGGGTCCAGGCACCAGCATCTTAACTAAGGGAAACTGGCAGTGAAGCCTCGTGGCCCACTACACATTTGCTATCCGCACTGCGCTTCGTGAATGGACCCGTAGCCTTCTGGGACCTGTGATGTGTCCCAGAAGGCCGCGGGGAAGGAGGGGGGTGAACTCATGTTCAGATCGCTATCCGACCGAAAGTGCGAACGGATACCCGTCAAAACAAGATACCCACTCCACCACCCAAAAAAAGTGCCAATTCTTAAAGGGGGGAGGGGGGATACAAACAAGCAGAACTTCCTCTTTAAATAAAACCGTTTAGCTGAAAGAAAAAAACGCAGCTTATCCATGTGTTTTTACTACCCCTTCAACCACAAATGTAAATGAACTCTTAGGGCCTATTTCCAGTTTTGCAGCGTGTTTAGGGCGTATGCACTAAAGTGAGTTAAATACATTATGGGCTTGATTCACTAAAACTGGAGAGCGCAAAATCTGGTGCAGCTCTGTATAGAAACCAATCATCTCCTAGTTTTTTTTTTTTTGTCAAAGCTTAACTGAACAAGCTGAAGTTAGAAGCTGATTTGCTACCATGCACAGCTGCACCAGATTTTGCGCTCTCCAGCTTTAGTAAATCAACGCCAGTGTGTCATAAGGTAATGTGCAGTGTGTTAAAGCAGTCTATTTTTTTGAATGGGCTATGTAAAGTACCCCAAAAGAGGTGCATTATTTCTGACAACTGAGCACACGACAAAGTGCAGCGCTAAGTAAATAAATTAAATAAATAATTAAATAAATACTGTGAAACAGTCAAGTGTAGCGCTGATAAAGGATACAGCGTTAAATAAATAATTGATAAATATGGAACAGTCAAGTGCGGCTTGGGTGAAGCCGTACTTGGTGACGCCACTGCCGAAGGTCGGAGTGGCAGCCATCTTGGTACTCCATTTTACTGCATTTATTTTATATCCCACACAGATTGTCTTACTGATTCTTACAATAAAGTACTGCACTATATACCATTTCTGGGCTCCTGTGGTGAGCTGTTCTTCCTAGGAGAGGGTCCACCTGCAGTTTGCCTATGGCGGAGCATTCCATACAGAGGCTTCTGGCTGTTTCCTATGTCCTGAAGTGATGTGCATACATGCTGTTTACCAGTAGTTTTCTGGTGTGTTTACATCAGACAGAGGTGGTGGATTTCTTCACTGGATCATTTCACAGTTTTATCCTTCACCGTGATTGCCGTGCCTTTTAGTCCCAGGGACATTATCCATTATATATATATATATATATATATATATATATATATATATATGGACTTTATTTAGTTTCACTTTTATGTTGCACTTGACTGTTCCATATTTATCAATTATTTATTTAGCGCTGTATCCTATATCAGTGCTACACTTGACTGTTTCACAATATTTATTTAATTATTTATTTAATTTATTCACTTAGCGCTGCACTTTATACCATATTTTAGAAGGATGTGTTACCTTTACCTTTAGCTAGCTGCTTCAGATTTATTTCCAGCGCTCCCCTATACACAACATTCTTTATGCATTGTGATTTGATACAAAATAAGTGCATTTCGTTGCCATTCAGAATAGATGGCATTGCAAGGCACTAACGTCCACATCATAACAGGGTGAATCAAGCCTAAAGTCCAAGACTGATGGGCTGTTCTATGAACCTCTTTATATTATAGATATAAATGGTAGATATGCATAATATCAACCCCTCAACAGCCTTGCTGCATTACCAAATATATTAAGAGTTGTTACTTATAAAACTGTGATTTATTTTCTCCCTAACAAAGGTCAGCTAAATCATCTAAACTAATCAAATATAATCAAATCAAGAGCTGTGAAGACTGCTGTTTTAACACGGCTTCCTCATTCTCTACATATTAGTATGCAGATTTTTATCATATTATGTGCGGTTCATATTAATGCAAGAAGATGAACAACATCATGAGAAGTACAAAATATATGTGAATAGTGAACTTAATAAAAGAAACATGATACTAAAATACACATTGCTCGATAAACACTTGTATTTTATTGTATTCAGAAACTGGCATTAATGGCTTATAAAATTTGACAGGAAGAAATATTAAAAATGATTTCAAATACATCAGTGCCTAACAAGCACACGATTAGCATCGGTGTAATGTATTAAAGACAATTTATGTTGTATTTAAACAAAATGAGCTTGTATAAAAGTGTTACACTCCTGAAATGCTGGAGATGTAGTTTTCATTTCTTTCCTCATTAACTGCTTAATGACTAAGGTATTTTGTGCTTTTTGTGTGCTGTCAGCACAATGTAGGAATCTTCCTCTGTTCTTTAATACAGGGGGCAGAGAGGAGAAGAAATAGGTTTTAATTGCAAACCACTATAGAGACAGCATTGCTTTTTTAGATGATCACTGCCGGATGACAGTAATAACCAGTTGCAGTTGATGTGTTTGGCTCCCAATCTTTCACCATGATTATAAGTGTCAGTAAGGTAACAGCACAAGTCAAGTCAAGTGTGTACACATGTGTGCTTTCTAAAGTTTAATCATGTACTTGCTTCTGAATGTTTAGGTACAAGGAAGACCATATAAATCTGAACTTGTGTTTCAAGTGTCAGAGGATTTGTAGTTCTTGTAGTCATATTAATATAATTTACAGATCCTGTCCAGACAACACAGCCAGGCCAGTGACCTTGCATTTCTCAACCACTTAAAGTGTTACTAAACACACAACAGTAAAATCAGTCTATATATGCAGTAGAGCTTGCTTGTTATACTCACTTTTGAACCCAGGGGGTTAATCCTCTGCATTGTGCAAAAAGGCAATTTTATCATTCCCTTCTTCTGCTGTCCCCACTTCATCTATTGATAGTACGGAGCTCTAGGAGTCACTCTGCACATGCTTAGTTTAGTGTATATTGCTAGAGAGTTTTTCTTTCTTTTGGAGGGTCCATGTGACCATTACAGGGCCTAGCTCACTGTCCAGACAGAGGATCAGGGGTTTTTCAGTCTCATAGGACAGTCAGAGCAGAATGAAAACTCCTCCTACAAGCTTTAACAAGTGCTAAGCTCAAGACTGATAAAAGTCACAAGACTGCTATATACTTCTGACGAGAAATAGTATTTAGCAGCAATTTACTAAAATAATTGCATTTGCATGTTCTGTGTATTGTGGAAGACCAGATATAGTGAAAGCAGGGTCATGGGTTTAGTAACACTTTAAGTAGTTTAGATAGGTCCTTTCCCTGCATCTGGCTTGTGATTGGATAGCAAGGGAGCAGCAGCAGATTGCTTTTTTTCCTCCTGTGAGGATGTCCTTGTGTCTTCATTTTAGAGTGACTCTTCTCCCAGGTGTACTATAAAAGGGACTATATGCAAATATAAGACACATTTGGGTACTTCATTTACTTAAAAGTGATATTAAATCTTTATGTTTTTTGTGTTAAATAACAAACATGGTATAATTAGCTGCTCTGTGCAATAGTTTTTCACAGAGCAACCTTGATCCTTGTCTTCTGGGGTCCCCTGGCTGCACTTCTGGCTCCTCCCCCTTTCAAGTACCCCCCCTAGCAAGGGGAGTACTCATGCAAGCTTGCTCCCAAGCCCCACTGCCTTTGTCCACAGACACTGGGGCTTTGCCCCATTCCCTGCTCCCTCATCATAGTGTTTCATTGACAGCAGCGGGAGCCAATAGCTAACACTGCTATCAATCTGCACTGTGAGGAGGGAGAGAGAGGAGAGAGCTGCTGCTCTCTTACACAGCGATGCATCGAGAATGATTTTACGTGAATATCAGGGGGGGGGGGAGGGGATCCTGAGGGGTCTCTTCTAGGGGCCCTCACTTGCGCTCCTCGTTCCTCTCCTCTTCCAAGCGCACTCATAGCAAACTTGCTCCCAAGACCCTCTTCCTTTCTCCACAGACACTGGGGCTTTGCCCCATTCCCTGCTCCCTCATCATAGTGTTTCATTGACAGCAGCGGGAGCCAATAGCTACCACTGCTATCAATCTGCACTGTGAGGACGGAGAGAGAGGAGGGAGCTGCTGCTCTCTTATACAGCGATGCATTGAGAATGATTTTAGATGAATATCAGGGGGGGGGAGGGGATCCTGAGGGGTCTCTTCTAGGGGCCCTCACTTGCGCTCCTCGTTCCTCTCCTCTTCCAAGTGCACCCATAGCAAGCCATTTGCTATGGGGGCACTCGTGTGGGTTCCCTCCTGAGCTAGGTTCTGTGTATCTATTGACACACACAGCATGGCTTGGCCCTGCCCCCTGCTCCCTTTTCAAAGGATTTGATTGACAACAGCAGGATCCAATGGCTCCTGCTGTTGCCCCATGTCCAATGATGATAAAAAAGAAAGAAGGGAAAGCTGCTGATCTTTGTCACAGGGCTGGATCAAGATCGGACTCAGATAAGTATCTAGGGGGGATGGGGTGGAGCTGAACACAGACAGTTTTTACGTTAATGCAGAGACTGCATTAATATAAAAAAAAGCTTCTGCCTTTACCACCAATATAATTAAATTGCATTAAAAAGTAACTTAAATAATTTTTAGAAAATATATACCTGCACTAAATTGTGTGCTTTCATAGCTTCCTGGAGTTCAGATTTATTACCCAGTATAGCTCAGTTACCCTTTAATCAGTTCTTAGTTGTAGGAATGTAAGTATGTATTATGAACATTTCTTACCATTATAAAGCAAAACTACACTCTAGTCAAAGCACAATCTACCTCCAGCATCACTACCTTACCCAGATATTGTGGTGTTGCCTTCACCCTCATCAGCCCATTTTGTTGGTAG